TGCGAGGCGTGGACAGTCTACAGGCGTCACATGCAACTCCTAGAGCGATTCCATCCGCGTTGCTTCCAGAAAATCCTGCAAATCTCTTGGGAAGACAAGCGGACAAATGTCAGCGTGCTGGAAGAAGCAAAGACCACCAGCACTGAAGCGATGGTCCTCCACCATCAACTCCGCTGGACCGGCCACGTTGTCCGGATGCCCGACCACTGTCTCCCAAAGCAGTTGCTCTATTCCGAACTCAAGAACGGAAAACAGAACGTTGGTGGGCAGGAAAAGAGATTGAAAGATGGGCTCAAAGCCAACCTTAAAAACTTGGCATAGACACTGAGAAGTGGGAAGCCCTGGCCCTTGAGTGCTCCAGTTGGAGGTCAGCTGTGACCAACAGTGCTGTAGAATTTGAAGAGGCATGAATGAAGGGCAAAAGAGAGAAACGTGCCAAGAGGAAGGCGCGTCAAGCCAACCCTGACCAGGAACACCTTCCACCTAGAAACCAATGCCCTCACTGCGGGAGAAGATGCAGATCAAGAATAGGGCTCCACAGTCACCTACGGACCCACCGCCAGGACACTGATTTTGGAAGACTATCCTACTTGGAGAATGAAGGATTGCCTAAGTAAGTAAGTAATATTTGAAATCTGAGAGAGGGTTGACATGGAAATGGGAGCAATGCAGGGGAGGGGCCGTGAAGGAAGTAAACTGTCAGTTGGAACTTTGTTGCGTTTGCTGCTGCATGCTTTTGAATTAGAATCATAGAATCCAATCTTTCCAACTTTGTTGGTGATGTAATTATTTCGCCAGAAAGCTACAGATCTGGACAGTGTGTCCCTAGGTGGCACCGATGGAGAGAAGGACTCGTAATTGGGTCAAGTTTCATTGCTCTCAGTCCACAGGAAGTGGGTCAGGGGAAATCTTTCATGAACGCCCCTTGTACATACCTTTCATGTTCCATACTTTGACTGCAGTTGTCTTTCACAACCCGAGGGCAGAACACAATGGAGTCATGTGTTCAAATGGCAGGAAGAGACTTCATCTCAATCGTAGGAAGAACCTCTTGATGGTAAGAGCTCTTCAACAGTGGACTATGCTGGACTACATGGCCCTTGGGGTTTCTTCCAACCTTATGATTCTATGGATTCAAAGCCACCAGAACTCAATTTGGGGTTATGATTGACCACTCCCAAGCAGCTCCAGAAGTTCCCCATTTCTTCTCTTGCTCCCATAACCAACTCCACTGACCCCAACAACCCAACATAGGGTAACACCAAAGCCAAGCTTCCAGTACAAAGAATATGTGCCCACTGGTGATTGTGTGGTGGAGCCACCCATCCTGTTCAATAATAGCTTTGTGATGCTGCCTAAAGGCAACCATGGTGCCTTCTCCTGAGCTTGTGGATTTCACTCCTCTGGCTATTTGCCTGCTTCTCTGACATTTGGCCCTCTGTTCCAGCGTTCCTGGAGGGGAAAAAAGTGATACGCCCGTTTTGCCTTAAGACATCTTTGTCCCTATCTCCCTTCTGATTTCACCTCGGTTATTGCCCTGTCTCAAGAGGTCCGTCTGGAGACATGATCTCAGCCGATCCAGTCATTTGTTTACCTTGGTGAGGAGACAGGACACAAAACCACCTGTTATCCGCCTACCTATCCTCTTCTTTCTGCGCTTTATCTAAACAATAAGGGAAAGCCTATCATTAACCAGGCAAGAAGAACAGAAGAAGCATCTAGTTACAGCAGTGATTTCCAACCTTTTTGGATCAGGGACCACTTGAACAGGGATCTGGAGACGGGGGCCTTGGTTAAAGTGGTCCTTGGTCAAAGTGGCCACTGTTCAAAGTGGTCCATGGTTAAGTGGTGCATGTTCATGTGGTCCCTGGTCAAAGTGGTCCTTGGTCAAAGTGGTCCGTGTTCATGTGGTCCCTGGTCAAAGTGGCTCCTGTTTAAAGTGGTCCCTGGTCAAGTGCTCCCTGGTCAAAGTGGTCCCTGGTCAAAATGGTCCATGGTGAAAGTGGTCCCTGGTCAAAATGGCCCTGGTTAAATGGTCCCTGGTCAAGTGGTCCCTTCTCTAAGTTTGGGAACCACTGAGTTATAGTGACTGGTTTGCTTTTCCCAAAACAAGAACAGTCATTCTATATGAATCCCTTTAGTCTCAAGGGGCTTAAAAAGAAATGACGGACCCCACGGCCTGTGTCATCTGATGAGCCGCACGCGAGGCCGGAAAAGAAGGTTTCAAACCCCCGGTCTGATGAGGTCCTTAGATAATTATGGCTGTTTGCTTTGTTTGCTTTCAGCCATTGAGTGTAAACGTTATAAACCACAGTTGGAGAAAGAGGTCATTTTACAGAAATATCTGGTGGAGATCGCTTATAAAAGGAAGCACTCTGACTCTGGGAAGCCTGTACTAAACGAACCTGTCCAAAACGAGACAACCACCTTTGGAGATTGCTTTCGTTCACGGGTGGAGATGAAGAACATCGTTTTCTTCGTACTGGTTTTGGCCTGCGGTAAGTAAATATTTCTACTCTCCAGCTATCTAAAGCTGGAGAGTATCCAGCTATCCAGCCCAACCCTTAAAAGATGGGTGGATGGATGGATGGATGGATGGATGGATGGATGGATAGATAGATAGATAGATAGATAGATAGATAGATAGATAGATCGATAGATCGATAGATCGATCGATCGATCGATCGATCGATCGATCGGATAGATAGATTCCTAGAGTTGGAAGAGACCCCAAGGCCATCCAGTCCAATCTCTAAGAGATAGATACAATAGATAGGTAGGTAGGTAGGTAGGTAGATAGATAGATAGATAGATAGATAGATAGATAGATAGATAGAGTTGGAAGAGACCCCAAGGCCATCCAGTCCAACCTCTAAGAGATAGATACAATAGGTAGGTAGGTAGGTAGGTAGGTAGGTAGGTAGGTAGGTAGTTAGATTCCTAGAGTTGGAAGAGACCCCAAGGCCATCCAGTCCAACCTTTAAGAGATAGATACAATAGATAGGTAGGTAGGTAGGTAGGTAGGTAGGTAGAGTTGGAAGRGACCCCAAGGCCATCCAGTCCAACCTCTAAGAGATAGATACAATAGGTAGGTAGGTAGGTAGGTAGRTAGATTGCTAGATAGATAGATAGATAGATAGATAGATAGATAGATAGATAGATAGATTCCTAGAGTTGGAAGAGACCCCAAGGCCATCCAGTCCAACCTCTAAGAGATAGATACAATAGATAGGTAGGTAGGTAGGTAGGTAGGTAGGTAGGTAGAGTTGGAAGAGACCCCAAGGCCATCCAGTCCAACCTTTAAGAGATAGATACAATAGATAGGTAGGTAGGTAGGTAGGTAGAGTTGGAAGAGACCCCAAGGCCATCCAGTCCAACCTCTAAGAGATAGATACAAATAGGTAGGTAGGTAGGTAGGTAGATAGATTGCTAGATAGATAGATAGATAGATAGATAGATAGATAGATAGATTCCTAGAGTTGGAAGAGACCCCAAAGCCATCCAGTCCAACCTCTAAGAGATAGATACAATAGATAGGTAGGTAGGTAGGTAGGTAGGTAGGTAGGTAGGTAGGTAGGTAGATAGATAGATAGATAGATAGATAGATAGATAGATAGATTCCTAGAGTTGGAAGAGACCCCAAGGCCATCGAGTCCAACCTCTAAGAGATAGATACAATAGGTAGACAGACAGACAGACAGACAGACAGACAGACAGATAGACAGATTTCTATAGTTCCGGAAGGCATGGGGGTTCTGTGTGGGAAGTTTGGCCCAATTCTATTGTTGGTAGTGTTCAGAATGTTCTTTGATGGTAGGTGAACTAGAAATCCCAGCAATGAAAACTCCCAAATGTTATGGTTTATTTTCCCCAAACTCCACCAGTGTCCACATTTGGGCATATTGAGTATCCATGCCAGGTTTGGTCGAAATTCATCACTGTTTGAGTCCACAGTGCTCTCTGGATGTAGGTGAACTACAACGCCCAAACTCAAGGTCAATGTCCACCAAACCCATTCAGTATTTTTTCTTGGTCATGGGAGTTCTGTGTACCCAGTTTGGTTCAATTCCATCGTTGGTGGTGTTCAGAATGCTCTTTGATTGTAGGTGAACTATAAATCCCAGCAACTACAACTCCCAAATGACAAAGTCAATCCCCTCAACCCCAAATTTGGGCATATCGGATACTTGTGCCAAATTTGATCCAGTGAAAGAAAATACATCCTGCGTATCAGATATTTACATGACAATTCATAACAGTCGCAAAATTAAAGTTGTGAAGTAGCAACGAAAATAAGGTTATGGTTGGGGGTCACCACAACATGAGGGACTGTATTAAGGGGTCGTGGCATTAGGATGGCTGAGAAACACTGCTGTAGGGCATATCTGAGAGGAAGGAAGTGGCAAAACCCCCTACTTGCCTAAGGAAACCCTATGAAATCCATGGTACCACCATACATGATGGCCTGAAGGCATCTACTGCTAATCCCAGATGTTCACAGGATGGATGTATAGCATCTAAATGGAATCCTGGTACTATAATTGTGTCAAATATTTGGGTCTGGGTTATCATGGTTGAAATTACAACCCTCATTGATGGTCCATTGAGAGCAGAAAATATTGTCCTGGCTCCTATTTTGGCTTCATGACCATGCCAAGTCATCATATGTCATCACCATGAAGCAAGTTGAACAAGTCCAAGTTATCCTTCAGTCATCTTGGGAAGACTCTGGACTAGCTCCAAGAATCTCCCCAGCTCCAACTATGGAATCTGGACATGAAATGTGGAGCTGGACCTCCCATAACAATGGCTTCACCCAAAGGAAGCTGGAAGCTCTAAGATCAATGGGTTGGTGACTTCATTCAGTGACCTTCAAGGCATTATCCTGGACCTATTTTTGAGAACTTGAGTTGAGTGTTCACCTTGGATTCCTCCTTTAGTAGATTCACTGCTCTGCTAACCTATGAGCTGCTAGCTTCATTCTAGTCCTGAAGAAGCACCATCTTCGTTGCACCTTTGCTCTCCAAGTCAACTGGCCTTGTTGCTCTTCCAGGACCAGCTCTTGTGACCGGCATTGCCTCCCAGTTGAATGAGATGATCCAGCTGAGCACTGTGACCTTCAGCCTGGCCAACTTCACCAATTACGGATGCCACTGTGGACCAGGGACTCAAGGGTTTCCCGTAGACGACATTGACAGGTGAGGCCCATCTAAGGTGACTTGCATTCCTACCATTTAGTATTCAGACCTCCAAACTCTGGTCCTATGGTCACAGATTGTGGGCTCTGAAGTCCAAAACACCTGAGGGACCAGAGTTTGGTAATCATTCCTCTAATTGAGGCATCATAGCCAAATGGGCATCAATACGCATCGGGGTGCTCCTCAATGTCTATCCAGATGTGTTGTTGTGTGCCTTCAAAGTTACTTCTGATTTATGGCAACCATAAGGTAAACTTGAGGTTCTCCTAGCTGAATTTGTAAGGAAGCATTCATCCCTAGTGAATATCAGGATTCTGGGGTTGTTCTTGTTGGTTTCGGCTGTTCAGGAACCCAAAGCAACCATGGTTTTTTGGTTTGAACCATCTCCTTGCTCCCTCCCTTTCCCAACCAGAGGATTCCCATCAAAGTGGGCTTTGATTTCAGGAGGATCTTGAGGTATCCACAAGGTACAACACATTTTCTCCAAAGATACCTCAAAATCTAAAATGCATGTGATCATCTGGAGCTGCATTTCCCAACCTGGGGGTCAGGACCCCTGGGAGGGTTTGCAAGAAGGGTGTCAGAGGGGTCACCAAAGACCATCAGAAAAAAAAGATATTTCTGATAGTCTTAGTTTGGTCCAGATCCATCATTGTTTGAGTCCACACTGCTCTCTGGATGTAGGTGAACTACAACTCCAAAACTCAAGGTCAATGTCCACCAAACCCTTCCAGTATTTTATGTTGGAGTTCTGTGTGCTGAGATTTGTTCAGTTCCATCATTGGTGGAGTTCAGAATGCTCTTTGATTTTAGGTGAACTATAAATTCCAGTAACTACAACTTTCAAATTTCAAGGTCTATTTTCCCCCAAACTCCACCAGTGTTCACATTTGGGCATATTGAGTATTTGTGCCACGCTTGGTCCAGCTCCATCATTGTTTGGGTTCACAGTTCACTCTTGATGTAGGTGAACTACAACTCCAAAATTCAAGGTCAATATCCACCAAACCCTTCCAGTATTTTCTCTTGGTCATGGGAGTTCTGTGTGCCAAGTTTGGTTCAATTCCATTGTTGGAATTACAGTTATGAAGTAGCAAAATTATAGTTATAAAGTAGCAATGAAAATCATGTTATGGTTGGGGGTCACCACAACATGAGGAACTGTATTAAGGGGTCACGGGATTAGGAAGGTTGAGAACCACCGATCTGGAGGATTTGAGAAGCCTGACCATTAAAACATCTCAAGGTAGACAGAACGTCATCTGAAGAGGTTCCCATGAGCATAACTGAGACAACCATCTTACTTGGGTTCTGGAAGCTACCAGAGAATGGCCAATGATGCTACCAATGTTGTCCTCTCTGTTCCTTTTTCTTTCACCGCAGGTGTTGCCACGGGCATGACTGTTGCTACAACAAAGCAGAGATGTATGGTTGTACTCCACACCTCCACACATACAGATTCTACGCTCAGAGGGACAAAATTAAATGTGGTGAGTAGGGCTGATGTCGAAACTGATGGGTGGATGAGACCAGACATGCTTAACCCCTTTGGGAGGTGGTCAAAGGTGGTTTCCATGTAGGGAGCCCACCATGTGTCTCTTGCCCCATCCCATCCATGAAGTTGATAATCTCTCTTTTTTCCACAGTCAAGTCAAGGGACCGCTGTGAAAAGCTCATCTGTGAATGTGACCGGAAAGCTGCTAACTGTTTCCGGAAGCATATTTTCACCTACAACCCTCAGCTGAAGAATCATCCCATGGCCAACTGTCAGGCGCAACGGCCATTTTGTTGAGTCGCGTTCCTAAAAGCAAATGGAATTGACATCTCTCTTCTCTATAGCATTTCTACCTGCTTCTCCATACATTAACAGTAGAGTCTTGCTTATCCGACCTTCGCTTATCCGACATTCCGTCGTATCCGATGCTCTTATCCGATGCCGCCCTTTACCTCCAGAATTTCTCCTTCAGTTAAGAGAGTGCTTCCCAACTCTCTCTCCTTTCCCAATATGTGAAGATGGCAATACAAGGAGGAGGAGGAGGAGGAGGAGGAGGAGGGAGGAAAGGGGGGGAGAAGAGGCAGGACCGGAAGCAGAAGCATTCTCCCTCCTTCCCTCTGTGATTTCCACGCTCCTCTTCTGCATCCAGGCACTTCCTGCTGGGCCACTCTAGTCCCGGGGCGTTGCCTAGCCTTAACTCTTTGAATCCCTGTTGTCTCGCTTATCCGACCTTTGCTTATCCGACATTCCGTCGTATCTGACGCTCTTATCCAACGCCCCACTTTTCCTCCAGCATTTCCCCTTCAATTAAGGGAGCACTCCCCAACACTCTCTCCATTCCCAATAAGTGAAAAGGGCAATACAAGGAGGAAGAGGAGGAGGAGAAAGAGGACGAACAGGAAGAGGAGGAGGGAGGAAAGGTGGGAAAGAGGCAGGACCAGAAGCGGAAGCGTCCTCCCTCCCTCTGTGATTTCCACGCTCCTCTTCCGCATCCGGGCACTTCCTGCTGGGCCACTAGCCCCGGGGCATTGCCTAGCCTTAATTCTTTGATTACCTGTTGTCTCACTTATCCGACCTTCACTTATCCGACATTCCATCTTTTCCTCCAGCATTTCCTCTTCAATTAAAGGAGAGCTCCCCAACTCTCTCTCCATTCCCAATAAGTGAAAAGGGCAGGACAAAGAGTAGGAGGAGGGAGGAGGAAAGGGGGAAAAGAGGCGGGACCAGAAGCGGAAGCATCCTCCCTCTTCCCTCTGTGATTTCTATGCTCCTCTTCCACATCCAGGCACTTCCTGCTGGTCCCCTCTAGCCTTGCCTTAGCTCTTTGAGTTCCTGTTGTTACTATTCTAGGTGTCGGATGGGTAGGAGATGCCATATTATCCGACATTTTTGTTTATCCGACATTCTGCTGGCCTGTTTATGCCGGATAAGCGAGACTCTACTGTATTTGTAACATTGACGCTTTCCTTACTATTATTACTATTGCTATTATTTCCTTATTACTGGACAACATATGTACAAACTACAAAAGTAATGTTAAATAAACTCCTGAGACAGAGTTATGGGCCTGTGTGAAGTCCAACATGGAGTGTGATTCTGGATTTTTTTCAGGCCACTGGAAGGACAGGCTGAGTCAGATTGTGCTACATATAGTGGCCCTACTATTAATTTACTTTGACTTTCAGGAACAATGCGGGAGGGGGGGGGGGTGGATCTTCTTTGGCAACCATCCTCAAAGCCATAAATGTGTACCCTATAAATCTCACTCTATAAAATGTTTTCACCTGCTCTAAGGAGATCTGGACCGGAAAAAGGGATGAGGAAGTAGTACTTTGTGTTCTGGAAGTAAGATGTCTCATCTTTATTGATAATCTTCTTAGAAGATTTTATTGGTGCTTAGAAATAGCTCAGGGAGAGGGAATTCCTTAGTCATCTTCTCTCAGCGTTTGCTGAGGATATAGCTCAAAAAGGAGTTGTCTTCAAAGAATGCTCCACAATTGTGTCCCAACAATGGGCAACCAACACGGTCAAAGGTCTGGAAGACCTGAATCCCTACAAGGAATCCCTTAGGATTCAGCTGATATTTAGCCTGGAGAAGAGAAGGCCAAAGATGCTTATGGTGGGCATCCATAGTAACGTTTCCCCATCAGTCATCTTCTCTCAGCATTTGCTGGGGATGTGGCTCAAAAGGGAGGTGTCTTCAAAGAATGCCCCCACCATTGTGTCCAACAATGGGCAACCAACATGGTCAAAGGTGTCAAAGTCCTGAATCTCTATGAGGAATCACTTAGGAATCTGGTTACATCTAGCCTGGAGAAGAGAAGGCCAAAGACGAGACATACGGTACTTATAGTGGGTATCCATACCAACGTCCCCCAAGTCATCTTCTCTCAGTGTTTGCTGAGGATGTGGCTCAAAAAGGAGTTGTCTTCAAAGAATACTCCACAGTTGTGTCCAACAATGGTCAACCAATATGGTCAAAGGGCTGGAAGTCCCGAATCCCTACGAGGAATCCCTTAGGAATCCGTTTATGTCTAGCCTGGAGAAGTGAAGGCTAAAGAAGAGACATACGGTGCTTATAGTGAACATCCATAGCAAAATTCCCCCAACAAGTCATCTTCTCTCAGCGTTAGCTGAGGATGGGGCTCAAAAAGGAGGTGTCTTCAAAGAATGCTCCACAACTGTGTCCAAGAATGGGCAATCAACATGGTCAAAGGTATGGAAGTCCTGAATCTCTACGAGGAATCCCTTAGGAATCTGGTTACGTTTAGCGTGGAGAAAAGAAGGCCAAAGAAGAGACATACGGTGCTCATGGTGGGCATCCATGTCAACGTTCCCCCAATAGTCATCTTCTCTCTGTGTTTGCTGAGAATGTGGCTCAAAAAAGGAGGTGTCTTCAAAGAATACTCCATGGTGCTTATGGTGGGCATCCATAGCAACATTCCTCCAATACAAATTATATGGGCAATGTAGGAACTAGATCTCTTTCCCTGAGATCCCCATATTTTGATCCTTAAGCTGTTGGAGACCTCAATTCCCGAAAGCCTGAGCTGACTTGTTCAACATTCAGGAATTCTGGGAGTTAAAAAGATCTGGAGAACCAAAGTTTGAAGTCCATGTTGACATAACCTGCCCATGTTGGCAAGTCAGAAGGATTATACAATATTCCAAAAAAGCTTGCAAACCTATGTCGACTTGAATCCATGAATCATAGCCTTTCATGGAATTTGGTGTTACCAGAAACCAGGAAACCCAAGACAAACGAAAAAGAGAAAGAGAGAGATGTTATATAAGAAGTATCTATAACACGGTAGCTCTAACTCGACTCCTTTTTCAGGAACAAATATTTGGCAGCATGCCTCGAAGTCATAAACATGTACCCAATAAATCTCACCCTATAAAATGCCCCGGGAGATTGTTTTCTCATCTGCCGAAAAGAGGATCAGACCAGAACGGTGACAAGGAAACAGTGCAACGCGGTGGGAGATCACTCCCATCTTTAGTCATGTCTGTCTTGGGGACCTGGCGGTGCCTGGGTTAATTGAAAAAGGCATTTTTGAGGGGGGGAGGGAGTTTGGTAATATCACTTAAATTGGGTCCAGAACCATCGTTGGCTGGTTCAATGCTCTCTGGATAAGGGTGAACTACAACTCCTGGATTCTCAAGGCAATCACCTCCAAATCGTGACAGTGTTTGCAGTTGGCCAAGTTGGGTCTGTGTGCCAAGTTTGGTCCAGATCCATCGTCGGCTGATTTTAGTGCTCTCTGGATAAGGGTGAACTACAACTCCCAGATTCTCAAGGCAACCACCTCCAAATCGTGACAGTATTTGCTGTTGGCCATGTTGGGTCTGTGTGCCAAGTGTGGTCCATATCCGTCATTGTCTGGGTTCAGTGCTTTCTGGATAAGGGTGAACTACAACTCCCAGATTCGCAGGGCAATCACCCTGAAACCCTATCAGTATTCACAGTTGGCCATCTTGGGTCTGTGTGCCAAGTGTGGTCCAGATCTGTCGTTGTCTGGGTTCAGTGCTCTCTGGATAAGGGTGAACTACAACTCCCAGATTCTCAAGGCAACCACCTCCAAATCGTGACAGTATTTGCGGTAGGCCATGTTGGGTCTGTGTGCCAAGTTTGGTCCAGATCCATCGTCGACTGATTTTAGTGCTCTCTGGATAAGGATGAACTACAACTCCCAGATTCACAGGGCAATCACCCTGAAACCCTATCAGTATTCACAGTTGGCCATCTTGGGTCTGTGTGCCAAGTGTGGTCCAGATCCGTCGTTGTCTGGGTTCAGGGCTCTCTGGATAAGGGTGAACTACAACTCCCAGATTCTCAAGGCAACCACCTCCAAATCGTGACAGTGTTTGCGGTTGGCCATGTTGGGTCTGTGTGCCAAGTTTGGTCCAGATCCATCGTCGGTTGATGTTAGTGCTCTCTGGATAAGGGTGAACTACAACTTCCAGATTCGCAGGGCAAACAACCTGAAACCTTATCAGAATTCACAGTTGGCCGTGTTGAATGTGTCAAGTGTGGTCCAGATCTGTCATTGTCTGGCTTCATTGCTCTCTGGATAAGGGTGAACTACAACTCCCAGATTCTCAAGGCAATCACCTCCAAACTGTGTTTGCAGTTGGCCATGATGGGTCTGTGTGCCAAGTTTGGTCCAGATTCATCGTCAGCTGATTTTAGTGCTCCCTGGATAAGGATGAACTACAACTCCCAAATTCGCAGGGCAAACACTCTCAACTGCTGCCAGTATGCACAGTTGGCCATGTTGGATCTGTGTGCCAAGTGTTGTCCAGATCTGCCACTGTCTGGCTTCAGTACTCTCTGGATAAGGGTGAACTACAAATCCCAGATTTCCAGGGCAATCAACCTGAAACACAACCAGTATTCCCAGTTGGCTGTGTTGAGTCTGTGTGTCAAGTTTGGTCCAGATCAGTCATTGTCTGGGTTCAACGTGCCAAATGTGGTCCAGGTCAATTGTCAGTGAGGGTCATACTGCTGTGTTTTGTTGCAGGGTGAACTACAACTTCCATACTCTCATACTCTGGAGTCAGTCCCCTAACCCCCTATAGTTGCTGATCAATTCCTCTGTTTGCTGTGTGTCATAGGAAAGGGTTAAGGGAGAGGCAGTGGGTGGGGGGTCATGCAAATTCCACTGCAGTGGAGAGAGAAAGGAACCCTGAGCGGTGTCTTTGGTGGAGGAAACACATAAAATGTATCTTGTCCCCGTATGAAAGCCTTTACTTGGTTGGTGGGCAGGATGGTGTGTGTGGAGGACATTGGCACGGCTCTTGGACATCTTCATGACACTCACTATAAGGAGGGACTTTGGTGTCTCCTGAGTAGTGGGAACTATGGCCTGTTTGTGGCGGTGGGACTCTGTCCGTGTATGCAGACGCCCCTGCCACAT